AACAGGACAGAGAACAGGACAGAGAACAGGACAGAGAACAGGACAGGGAAAGACACGACAGGACAGAACGGGACGGAGATGACAGGAGCGGTGTGGATGGAACAGAGAGTAGGTTGGAACGGAGAGGAGTAGATTGGGCCGGAGCGAAGCAGGGCGGGGTGGGGCAAGGCGGAGAGGAGAACGATAGGCGGAGCGAGACGGAGCGTAGAGGGACGGGGCGAGCGCAATGGGCGGAGCGGGGCGGCGCGCCTAGTCGTGTGATAGCGAGCGCGGAGTGCCAGCGATCGGAGCGTCTGCTAATCGCGCTGGCATTCTGTTGCAGTGCGCGACAAGCGCCGGGGCCGGTCGCGGACGCCTGGAGGGTCGGGGTCGACACCGCCCGCAGTGGTGCACCGCCCGCCCCCGCGCAGCCTCACGCCCTCCAGCCTCACCTCCTCCAGCGGCCGCACCACACCCACGCTCTCCCCGTCGCACGGGTAAGTACCCCACAGCATCCTTCCAAGATGCAAACTAGAATTAAATGTTTTTAATCCCAAACGCAAACCCTCAATACAAGCGAAATGAATAAAATTCAATAGAATTCTTTCTTCAAAATTCAGAAATATCCTTAAAAATATCTAAGATTGCACTATAGAAATATCACCTTTCAGGATTTATCACGTTACTACAGTTTTAAGATGGATCGCTATCAATAGTAAAAGTGTAGCAAATAGTAATCTGCCGGAAGTAGGAATTATTCACATTAACCTTTTACTTTACGATACAAGCCCCCCACCTTGAATGATTCCACAGCCGAGGAGGCTGCAAGTGACTGACTCCTCCTGTATGTTTCGTAAATCACCTTTGTTTGAAACTCTCTGGTAAATATTACAAAATTATTGCGCGTCTGCTAGTTGAATTTGTACTAATAACACCCCGTTACTCTGAATCAATCTTTAGTACGATAACTTCGTAGTTGCCTCTAGATAAGCCATGATGTTGTCTTCCCCTTATCAAGTGGTTCCGCCTTTTCTCGTGAAAGGCGTCAGAACCGAGTTGTTGATGTTGAGAACACTGAGCTAACAAACCGCGAGTGAAAAAACAGGACAAGGGTACGATAAAACGACGAAGTGAAATCTCTCTGCGGCTCTTATTCCTTTTTGTGCCCTGTGTCGACCCACTATCGACATGCGAAAAAATACGGAAATGACAATGCGAACGAAATGGCGTTTTATATAGTCAATAGTACTTTAGGCCCTGATTGACGGTTCGCTATGCGAGTCGAAATTTATGAATACGTTCCGCCCTTCGACATCCGAGGTTACCTTGAAACATCATTGAGACTGCACAAGGCATAACTTTCACCGCACTTTATACCCTTACCATTCGTTGGAATAAAAATACAGAAACTCATTTAAAACGGCGATACTGAGGAGGAATATAGAGAAAATATATTGAAATACCTTCAAAAAATCCTTAATGTCTCTTCTGCCTCTAAAATCTCCACACTAAAAATGCTTCACACTAAAACTAATTCAATGCGTGGTCGATCTTTTTTTAGGCACAACATTGCACGCTTGAAGGAATTTTAAGTATCTCTTCACCACAACAAACTTTGCACAAACACACGAAATTAACAAAGGCCATGGTCACGAATTAATCAACAGTTAAGTCGACTTAATGCACTTAAATGCACTTGCTTGTCGTTCTTCTCATTCGTTCTCCGATTTCGCAGCGTTGTGAGTCGTTTTATGAACGAGAACAGATTACGAGAAAATGCCCAAAAATAGAATCTAGTAGTAAATAATTACAACTTTCTTCAAATATGTGGCGGATGATGCAAACCTAAGATTTGTTCTAAAAAAATGCAAGAACATACGTACAGAGGATTTCAGAAAAAAAAATTTCCCCATTTTTGTTTAAAGACTGAAGTGTTAGAACGATTTTTTTAAATCTCAAGAGCGTGTTTTGTTCTTTACACTTCATACAATGCCCCCTAGACACTAATATAAGGCCTCTCAACTACCGCTGTGACGTCACATGGATAGTCATCGCGGCAAACTAATCTTTCGCCGGCTGCTCACTGTCAGTTACGTTTACTGGCCGCCTTAATAACGATGCTTTACAAGAAATATAATCGCAGCATTTTATTGTATTTTATTGCACATTTCAATTAACAGTTAATTTTAACTAAAAAAAGATGAAGGATTTTAAATTTAAAGTATTGCCATATTTAAAATTATTGTGCATCTCAGTGCCACACTAAATGAGGCAACTAAATGATCCTGCATGCATTACACAATTTTCCATATTAGGAAAATTAATTTCTTGGTTATCATGATTTAACCAGTTTTTTAAGCACTTTGACAGGTTCACACTGTCAAAAGAAAAAAGAAATTTTCTGTGGAATTCACATGGGCATTCATACGATATTTCTTGTTGTGGAGGAAACAATGACACAGCTTTTAGGTTCACAGGATTGTTGTCAGAAATCACTGCAATCACTTCAAAACCAATCTTTTGAAGCCCTACAATTATGGTTTTGATGTAGTGGTTTAGCAACGCACCTGTCAACTTTCTCACCAGAAATTTATGAACTACATTTTTATATGATGAACTCATACTAGTTACCATGAACACACCAGTTGTTGATGCATTTCTTAATGGTAGTTCCGACGATACTTCTTCAATAACGGCAGTTCCTCCCTTATAGTCTAAATTTGACATAAAGAATATTTCATCTACTAAGCGAACCACAGTCTTGTCATTTTCATTCCAGAAAGTGAATGTCATTCAACGCATTCTCTGGATGTTTCTCCATTTTCGGGGTATTGAATCTTGTAGAAACCAATTTCAATGCAGAAGGGCACGGCAACTTCACGTAACCCGAATGAGAGCGTAGGCTTCCGCGGCCGGAGTCAGTATTTACTAGGCTGTCCGGCATTACGCCCTGAGGAAGGTCGCAGAATGACGACCGAAACGTCGGCACCTTCGCCATGGACGCGGC